GTTTGATAGATTGTGATGCTGAAGTTGGCTGAGGCTTGATTCCGGGATTATTTTCTGTTCACACTGGTGAAGGTCACTTCATTAAAGAGCCAATCAGCGTGGCTTAATTGGCTTTGATGCACATGTCCATGCATATTGTCTCGCTACAAAACAAAAGGGATTGGACAAAACTTCAATAACACTAAAATATAAATCGCCCTGTTGACTCGTTCGGGTAAATTATCGCTGCTGCCAAAGGTCCATATTAGGCGCTCTAAGCACATTTAACTATGAGGCACTACTTCATGGCTCCTTAACGATGGTTGCTTATGATTTGAACAGAATTTAATGGGTCGGAGAAGAAGCTGACAGCAGGATGAAAGAAGGAAAGGGCAGCGGTGAAAAAGATGAAGCGTGGAGAGAGGTGACACTGACCCCATATTTCAGTGAATAAATACATTGACCCTGCACTTGACCTTTTCAGGGTCTTATTACATTCTTCAGTCAATCAGATATCTTGTTGTATCTTCATATAATTGTCTTGCAATTTATCAGTTATTGCAGTTCTGTGAAATTATCGTTATCTTGTAGCTATCACATCTCGTCTGGGATCATCTTGAGTATCCCTGCGAGTAACACTTCTACAAGACAAAGTCTGTTCCCCTCCTATTAGATTTATGAGCTAGTGTCGCCCGTCGCTGGCCTAAATGGAATAATATTGAATCTGTTGTGAGATATTTGTTGTTTTTCCACCTCCCCGTCAGAGCTCCCTATTGTGAAGTCACAGACTAATTAACACCAAATAGAGTTCACTTCAGCTGATAAGCCATGCTAATATGGAGCTCAAAGGCTCATACTGCATCCATCTGTTGCACCTTCTGTTGACAGAGCTACATACGGAAGAGAGTCGCACATTTCTGGTGAAGAGTAGCGCACTTCCTCATGCACCGCATACCTTTTGTGTAGTTAGAGTACTGAGAGGTTGGCCAGTCATTGAAAAAGGCGCTTTGGCTTCTGAAGAGAGCTGCCTCCCTGCACCACCACCACCACCACCACCGCAGCAACCTCAGGGATTTACCTGCGCTGTAAATAACCACAGATCCAGATTACTCCACTGCAGCCTTGTCATGGCTGCATGTCTAATGACCCACACACACACACACACACACACACACACACACACACACACACACACACACACACACACACACACACACACACACACACACATCCCTTTTGCTTTCCCACTCTGAGCACAGCGGAGGGCTTCCCTGCTCTCACTTGACCTCTCCTCAGCTCAGGATATGAAAATTTAAACTCACATTTTTTTTCTGTGAAGCAATAAGCTTTTAAAATACAAACAGTCAGAACAACTGACAGGAATGGAAACAGGCTTGTCCTGATTGGCTGGCTGTTGCAATAACTGTGTATTGTTTGGAGGGAAAACAAAGCTCCCTGCTGAGTGAGCAGAAATATTGTATATATTTTTGTAGTCTGAGAGAAAGCTGATTGTTTCTTTTCATCCATGTTTATTTACAGTCTATACAATCTAGCCAGTGTATGAGTCATGACTGTCTACAATGGGTGTAACACCCGAGTCCCACTGTCTGTGATGTTTTCAGAGTTTTCAGAGTCCTATCTTCACTTTGTTTACATCGCCTGGACGGCCGGCTGACTCCTCCCCTCGTGTATAAAAGTTGTTTAATTGAGGGACTAGAGAAAAGAAGAATAACATACTGTACTCACTGATTAACTGTGTTTCTAGATCACGCTCATTTCAGGTAAATTTACATGCAGTGTGAAGATACCAGCATAATAAAGATCGCTAGCATTAGCATGCTAACACAACAATACTGGGCGAGTTGTTTTGGTTTCATGCTGGTGCTCAAGGGCGACATCTGCTGGATCAAAAAATCGCATATAAAGCCTTTCATAAAAACTGTTAAGGTAAAAGTTCTTGCCCAAACCTTTTGTAAGAAAAAAAGAGCAAACTTGTTGAATTATTAGTCATGTGTTATTTTAGTTTCATTATCGCACCGTGCTGCGCTCGGCGTTATGAAGTAATTTTTTTAATGTTGTGTGAGTATATTTGTGTCCTTGTTGTTCTTGTAAATGTGAAGTTATTTCTGCTTATATAATCTGTCATCTTTCAGGAGCTCATTTTGTATTTCTTTGCCCCGTGTGCTGTCTTGCAGGGAGTGTTGGAAAGTTTCCTGGGTACGGCGCTGACGGGAGCGGTGTTCTGTCTGCTGGCTGGACAGCCGCTGACCATCCTGAGCAGCACGGGCCCCGTGCTCGTCTTTGAAAGGCTCCTCTTCAACTTCAGCAAGTGAGTGTTTTCCTTTCTGATGAGGGTTCAGACACAGCCTGAGGGGGCCCAGGGGAGATATTTATAGATCGTGGACCATGATGTTGTTTGTGTGTTTCCAAAAAGATGCTTTCCTTGTGACCTCTTCAAATAGAATAGAAAATGGGAGCGTTAAGAATGCAGGCCGATAAATCACATTCACGCTAAGCTGCTAGTTTCTGTTTTGATTTAATCCAAGAGGAACTTTTTGTTCTCACTGAATATCCTGTGCAGTATTTGCCCTCAACTCCCTGTCCTGCTTTATTCAGAGACAAGTTAAGACTCTTAAGTAGTTCATAAAAAGAAAAACCCTGCTCACACAATATCTTAACTCAACTTTCGGGTTGAGCTGCATGTCAACTTTATCCAGATTTTTTTTTACCTGTGGGACTCCTTGGAAAAGTTGCACAGAAAAAAATTGCTCAATAAGTTGGGGGTGAGTCGATGCATGAACACACAAAAGGAAACATCCAGAAAAACAATTCACCACCAGTGAGTTGGCAAGGATGATGATGATGCTGCTGCTTTGTACTGTCTAAAAAGCCTGCTGCACACAAGATGAAGATTTTTCAGAGATATTTATGGTCTCGGTCTTGGCTCAGTTTCATCCTGATTTGGTCTTTGTCTTGGCTTGGTCTCGATCTCCTAAATGTCTTGGTCTTGGAACACTCCGGTCTTAGGGGATGTCTTGATTTCGGTTTAGTGTGGTCTGGACTACAACACCATTTTGGAGAGGGTTGTTTTTAAGTCTGGCTCTTCGATGGTGCTGTAAAGAAAATCCAAAGGTATTTTTTTGAGAGCTGTCCTGTTAGATAACCTGTCACATCAGGTCCATCCTTCAGACATGTTGCATGTTAAACCGATCATTTCTTGTGGGTACTAAAGGCTGTTAATGCTGTCCTCTCCCTCCTCCTCCCCCCACTGTACTCTCCTAGAGAGACTCTTCTAGCATTACCAAACAGCATGCTGCTTATGTTCCACCATCAATAATTCACTCTCATTTAATTTTACACTGTGACTGAAGAATGTTGTGGCGACCGTGGCCTCTGAATGTTTCCACGCCCGGAAGAAAAAAGCTGCCGAGTCAGCTGCAGCTGCTAGCCATGTCTTCGACTGGTATATGTTGACCTCGGGGGGGTTATATTCTCTAGACCGGCATGATAGGAGAAACTTATACAATGCATGATAACATAGCTCAATGACGATGTGAAGTGCGATTTTTAAAAAGAAGAAGCATTTATTAATGCATGCATGCTAACACAACAATGCAGCGCGAGTTGTTTTGGTTTCATGCTGGTGCTCAAGGGCGACATCTGCTGGATCAAAACATCACATATAAAGACTTTAAGTCACAATATCTGTGATTACGAAATGTCTCTCCTGACTTCAAAATATCTCCATAAAGATATCATTCTAATATTTTTCATCAGTCACCAATTAATCTGAGGTTTTCCACCCAGTAGGTGAAATACTTCAAACACATGCTGAGTGAGAAAGCATGGCATTACCACAAAGCAAGTGTTAATATTTGTTGCGCTGGATTTAGACTTTGTTGTGAATGCAACGATGAAATTGTGAGCCGCTGTGGTTCATGGTTGATCCGGGGTTCGATCCCTTTTCCGTATTTTTCTTCCATCAGTGTGTAAAATGTGACATGAAGTGTAAAAAAAACCCCAGATGGGAGTAAATGTTCCATATTTTAGTTCCACGTATAAACGTATATTCTGCAAGTAAAGCCAACACAACTCACCGTTTTTAATTTAATTAAATTTTTTTTACCTTTCTCCTCAGAGACAACGACTTCGACTACCTCGAGTTCCGGCTGTGGATCGGCCTGTGGTCGGCCGTGTTCTGTCTCCTGCTGGTCGCCACCGACGCCAGCTTCCTGGTGCAGTATTTCACGCGTTTCACCGAGGAGGGCTTCTCGGCGCTCATCAGCTTCATCTTCATCTACGACGCGTTCAAGAAGATGATCAAGCTGGGCCACTACAACCCCATCAACGCCGGCTTCGATGCCAACTTGATCACCCAATACGACTGCAACTGCATACCTGGTTTGTAGTTTTTTAGCTCTGAAGATAAATGTTCTATAATGGGAAAGTGAAGATCGATTACAGGAGTGGCTTTTTGTGTCCTGATGACTGATAGCACCATCCCTTTCTGTTAAGCTCCTCATTGTTGTTTGTTTCTGGCGCCGTCTGAATCTCAGTATCATCCCTCGATGATACCAGACGGTGAAAACTGAAAACTAAACACTCGTATTCTGTTTTCTATTTGGCACTGATGTTACCATTGTGCTTAAAACAAAGCTCCCTACTTCTTTTGCCGTGTTTACAGTGGAGATAACAAATGATACTCGTATGTGTCGGCCTGTAGATACCTCTGTTTACTTTCTCAACCACCTTATCAGTTTTCTGTGACCTGGCATGATTGTATTGGAGAGAGATTTTGACACCGGTTCGAACAGGAATGGGTTGTAAAGTTTTTCTCATCAAGCTGATAAGATGTTGTTGTTTTTTTTTTTTCACCAGGCAACTCGTCAGATCTCCTTGACCTCTCGCCCTGGACAAACAGTTCTGATCTGGTACGTGGCGTCCTTGTTCTTGGGAACATTATTAAATTCAGAATGTTTTTTTTAATCCAAAGCTTGTTCCTTTTCCAATCAGTAAAGATATTCACAGAATTAAAAAATAAAGTGAGCTTACTATATGATCAGACATTAAGGAAACATGCTATGTTGAAGTGCTGGCTTCTCTGACAACAATGCAGCAGCCAGTATGTCCTCCTTCTAACTTTAGATTCTGCTCCTGAATGCTCTGGATTTGTTTGGACCAGAGAAGGTAGGCGCTTTTAAGGCGACCCCCCCACACGGCCATTTTGGACGCCCATCGGTTTGCCAGATATGAGAGCAGTTATCAGGTCAACAGGTGTTGCAGCGATGGAAGCGGGTCAAGAGAAGTGGTTCAGATAGAAGTGATTGTACCCGACCTAAAAAGCCTCTGCATGTTTCTAATAAGCTCCACGAGCAGAAACGTGCTCAAACTAGGATCAATATTGGAGATGCTTTTGAAAAATGGAGAGAGGTTAGAACACAGAAAGGTTTACAGACCCATGCAGAGCTGGATAAACACTGAAGCTTCAGAGTCCACCACATGATGACCTGAGTGAGCATCCACTCTAGAGAGGAGGGGGGGAGACAGCTCTCTATGATGTTTAGAATTTGGACTGCAGTACCTGTTTTAAACACTAGGGGTCAGAGTTACATATGGCTTTTTTAAAGAAACATTTTGTCTTTCTGTGTCCTCAGCCAGTGAACACCACCTGGGCGACCCTGACCAAGAAGCAGTGTCTGCATTACGGAGGTGAGCTGGTCGGAGACGCCTGCGGCTACGTGCCTGACATCACCCTGATGTCTTTCATCCTGTTCTTTGGGACTTACACCTGCTCCATGGCTCTGAAGAAGTTCAAGACAAGCCGCTTCTTCCCCACCAAGGTGAGTGATATTCAGCCACCAATGAAGAGTCACAGTTTGTTCATTTCTGCCCACGTGCCAATCGCTAAATGCATCAAACATCGAGTGATATTTAAAGATTACACATGTGAAGAGGTAGGCCTCTTTAGAGAACATGTTGTGTAGGCTACTTTTTCTAAGTTAACAACAACAAAAACTACACCCAACAGCTCATTATTCAGCAGGGTATTTTGGCTTCACTTTTTTAACAACAGATGGAGACGGAGATGTGTTGTCCATATTACTATCACAGTCAATGATTTCACCTGTATCCACCACCTTTCTCTGCCTTTCCTGAGAGACTAGCTAGCTCGATTTATCTTCAACTCTGACAAATGATTCTCAAATAAATCTCCATTTAGTTCACAAGCTCAAGATGCCATGCTCACCGTCTTGACCATGTTTTGAAAGCTAGCATTTGCTAGTTAGCACAAAGCGCTACATTTTGTAGATTTCCTATCATCACTGCGCTTACAAAAGCAAAATCTCAAACTCAACTTGATGTCTGTCCCCGTTTCAGAAGTTAAACAGCCAGTAATCCTTTCCTTCCACATGCTTGAAAAATGAAACGCTATAAATCCTGTTCCGATGTGTCTCCCCTTCCAGGTGAGGAAGCTCATCAGTGACTTTGCGATCATCTTGACCATTCTCCTCTTCTGCGGCGTGGACGCCTTCGTCGGTGTGAACACCCCAAAGCTTATAGTGCCAACGGAATTCAAGGTAAGCGCCTCACAACAGATGGAAATTAGCAAGCTAGCTAGCTAAATCTGGTACAAAGCATCTCTTCTCTTCTGAGACTAAATGTTTTGTTTTTTTACACCGTCCCTGATTCAAATAAACGATTTAACTAACTAAGCATGGGAGAATGCATGTTTGAAATCAAGTTCTAAGTTGGGAAAAAAAAAAAAAAAAAGGCCAGCCAGGTGCTCAGAGTTTTCTCTGATTACGCTGATAATGATCTATGTTTCCTCTCAGCATAATGCTTTCTTTATGGTCCGCCCAGTTAGTGATACGCATTACCTGAAACACAATCACAGTCAGGCTCGTGTTTTAAAACCTGCTCCTGCAGCCCTGACGGGGGAGGAAGGGGATGGTGGGGCAGAGGAGCCGGGTACCTGCATCGAATAACATCTTGATTATCGGAGATTTGAGAACACGCAGGACTTACAGAGGCCGCTTTGTTTGACCACAGAGTCTTTAAAGTACAGATTTCTGACTTGCAATGATGCACCAGTAATGTCAGACTCTTTTCAGTGTTTCATTTTGTGAAAGGGTCGAGTAGCTGCTTCAAGTTTTTTTCAGTTTTATTGGAAATGTAATCCATGTCTCTGTGATGTGGACTCAATGAAACCTCTGGTCAGGTGTTGCTTTAGCAGTGTTGTTCTTCCTCTTTTCTTCCAGCCAACGAGTCCTCATAGGGGCTGGTTTGTCAAGCCCTTCGGAGGGAACCCTTGGTGGGTGTACCTGGCTGCGGCCCTCCCCGCTCTGCTGGTAACCATTCTCATATTCATGGACCAACAGATCACTGCGGTGATCGTCAACCGGAAAGAGCACAAACTGAAGGTTTGTACATTAACTTGGAAGATCTACTGACATTTCAAATCCTTGCATGCAATCAATGAATAATAAGTGGTCGGAGCTCGTCGTCGAGTGTCATGATTGAGTGTGTTGTACATGAGTCCACATTTTGGATGCATGAAAGCTAAATGCAAATATTCCAAAATTTAAACAAACATCAAACTGTGCAGCAACTTAAAAAAGTCCATCTGCTCTCAGAAAGGGGCGGGCTATCACTTGGACCTGTTCTGGGTGGCCATCCTGATGATAATCTGCTCGTTCATGGGCCTGCCGTGGTACGTGGCCGCCACTGTCATCTCCATCGCCCACATCGACTCCCTGAAAATGGAGACGGAGACGTCGGCCCCTGGAGAGCAGCCCAAATTCCTGGGTGTGAGGTGAGTTATCCCAGCTGCTTGTCCGGGGTGTTGATCCCATTTCACCCTCCCTATTGTCAGATGGTCATATCTGGCATAGTGCTCAAGGTCAGAACACACAATATGAAGGCTAAGAAGTACATAGCTTGGTATGGGATAGTCCCAAACAAATATATCCACTCTTATGTACTTATTAAGAATAGTGCTGCAACTTTTGAGAATGCCAGGCATTTCATTTAATTTATTTTGGGTTCTCCAGTGGAAATGCATCTCCTAGCAGGTGGCTAAAATGCAGACTAGGACGTTTTTAAGACCATGGGCTGTAATGCTGTGCAGAAAATCCAAAGACGGATAGTTTTCCCTTCTTAGAAATCAAGTTTTACTGATAATGTGAGCAAGCGACAGATCGGGATCCTGCTATTTCCCCATTGTTAAGGTTAACTGATCAATGCAGAACCCCTTTTTTATATTTTTTTCTGTGAATAAAGAACTAATTCTGCGACAAAGGAAAATGGGTTTGTGTGAGAAATACAGCAATCCTGCTCAATCAGTGAAGAAGAAGAGACAATGCAACACAGAAAACAGACAATTATCTCAGAAAAGGAGAAAAAAACTAAACAAATCTTTGCAGAGCTGTAATATATCGATGTACACAGTTATGGACATCATGCATCAAACAGGATTTGAATAATATGTCTGTCCTCTTCTTTGAAAAACTCAAATTAGTTGATACACAATTGTTCTTAATGAAGCTGTAGGGCTGTGAAGTTTGAGACATTCCTCTTAAAAAATAAAAGTGTAAAACTTGAAATCTTATTGTATGATTCAATTCTCATTAATTAAAGAAGGTGAGAACTGAACTGTTGTGTTTCAATCATGTTTTGATTCTTTTTCTTTTGTCACCAATCCAGGGAGCAAAGAGTCACCGGTATCTTTGTGTTCCTCCTCACGGGACTCTCCGTCTTCATGGCCCCCATCCTCAAGGTAGAGCGCTCCCAAACGTCTTAATTCTCCTATTCAAAATCTGGATTACTGTCCACCTCTTTCAGGACAAAGTCGTGTCCGCACCTCCTTAAGTTTTCAATAAATGCAAGCCTTTCATTCATCCGATTACAAACCCTCATAGTTGAGGTAATGCGATGTGAAATAAGCATGTCCATCAGGGCTTAAGCTCCGATTGCAGCTGAGTGGCTTCTCGAGTTTCCATTCCCACATTAAGCTGCCAAACAGAAAAAAATGTGAAGTCACTGAGAGGAGATTGTTGGAGCGTGTACTCCCCCTTGTGGACGTTTTTCAGTACTGTGCTGAAGACCTTGGTATTGTCCTCTTGAGTAGTTTTGTAATATACTGTAAATAAATGAAAATAGGAAATAAATAGGATGATAAGTAAAGTCATGATTAATGCTTTTTTAAAATGCATATTCATTTTTACTATGTTAAACATTTTATTTGTATTTTGATGCACATGTTCTAGCTTGCCTGTGTTTTGCAACAGATTTTTTTCCCTGACTTCTACTTAAAACTTCTCGAGCAATAAATTACCAACCTGCACAAATGTCAGCCAAGTGGCCGTCGACACCGATGTGCCGACTAAAAGAACATTCTTGGATAAGCTGCTTGTGGAGTATTTTTAAACCGAGTGATAGTGCTAAAAATAAACTCCATGTCATTACGTGGATGAAGGGAGTTCCCTCTTCCTGGAATACCTTAAATTGTTAATGGGTTTTAAGAGTAATTCAACATAAACAAACATTTGCCACAGCCACACACACATTGCAGTAATAACTGTTTTCATTGTGTCCTTCAGTTCATTCCCATGCCGGTGCTCTACGGGGTGTTCCTCTACATGGGCGTGGCTTCGCTCAATGGTGTCCAGGTGAGTGAGTTCATTGCCTGCACTGCTTACCTGAGTTTTGAGCAGTTGCTTTAAATTGTTTTTTAATTTATACTTTAGATTTTACTCATTGAAAATGGTTTTTAGGCTATTGCTTAACCAATTACTCAACAGCAAAACTAAAATCTTGTACACTTTACTGATGAATAATTAATTAAGCCCATCAAAGGTGCATTTAAATAACTTTTAAGCCTTCATATCCACGCTCTTTATATTTTACCTGAAGAAATAACAAGACTCTGTGATGTACCATTAGCCAGGATTTACTGTCCAATTGCTAATAATGAGCCTAGTCCCAGGCTTTCCCATGGAAAATAAACTTCACAGATAATGAGCTCATGTCAAGCAGGAGATTTCTGACATGTTTGTCTGTTTGCTTGTTTCAGTTCATGGACCGCCTGCAGCTGCTCCTGATGCCAGCCAAGCACCAACCGGACCTGATCTACCTGCGACACGTCCCCCAGAGACGCATCCACCTCTTCACCTTTATCCAGGGCCTGTGCCTGGCCCTGCTCTGGATCCTAAAGTCCACTGTGGCTGCCATCATTTTCCCTGTCATGGTGAGAAAACTACTCGTGATCACAAACACGCACACAGAACCGTCTCTCGGCTTACTTAAAAATTACAATAAAATAAAACCATTTCTTTGTCTTCAGATCCTGGCTCTCGTTGCCGTGCGTAAGGCGATGGACTACGTGTTCTCCCAACACGACCTGAGCTACCTGGACGACGTCATCCCAGAGAAAGACAAGAAGAAGAAGGAGGATGAGAAGAAAAAGAAAAGCAAGAAGAAAGGAAGCATCGACAGTGAAATTGACTTTGTAAGTATTCTCTCTCAAACTGGACAAAGTTTACCAGAACTCGTTGTTGTCATGTGTCTACAGCCTCCTGTAGATGTAGAAGGGTTAATGTTCTCCCTCCCTCCTCCCACAGTCTGACTACCCCTACCATGACAATATTCCCAGTATAAAAATCTCTATGGATATGATGGAGCAGGAGCCCATGTTGGGGGATAAATCTTTGGATAGTGAGTACTATAGCGAGGGTCTGCTGCTCAAACTAAGCTTTTTGAAGGCTTCCGCTCAAATTCCTCTCCTGCCTTCACTAGTTTTCTTGCATGCTCTTACAAACTGAATACTTTAAAAGATCAATATCTCCGACCTATTTTTCTTCCCCTTTGCTCTCTCTGACCTTTAAAAAAAAAAAAAAAAATCATATTCTGGCTTTAGAAGCAGCTTCTTGGCGCTGGCTTTGTCTTTCCTGCTCCTCCTTCATTTAAGAAATATGTTTTCTAAAAGCTGTTTTTTGTTTCTCTCCTTTCCCCCTCCAGGAGATCAATCCAAGGCTTTCCTTAACACGCATTCGCCGTGCTGAGCACTACTTTGAAACTGCCACTGTGGCCGAGTGAGTGAGTACCAGCTGGCATTCATTTCACACATTTTCTCTGCAAACAGTAATTCATGCAGCATGCTTTTTTTTTTTTGAGTCGCCTCAGACACTGTATTTATCTTTTTGTTTGGTCTCTCTCTTTTTGTTGTTGTCTACAGTCTTGAAAGAGGTGGATACGCAAAAGGTTCCCCTCAGATTCGAATAGAAGGGGACTCTGAGGAGAACGGTTTTGTCTGGAGGAGGAAGGGCTCTGAAACGGATCTGTGAACAAATTATCCAGAAGATGCAGCAGAACCAGCGCAGCATAGCAAACTATAACCGTCCTCTTTTTTTTTTTTGTGTACTATAGCATGTTTAAGGATTTCAATCAAAATGGCTGGAAAATATTTTTGTCTTAAAAAATGTAAACACTCTGGTGGTACTGGTTTGTAATCAGGGCTGAACTGAGTATTTATGTTCTCGAAGAACTAAAAGGGCTACTCGAGGTCACCCATGTGCAGGTTTTATATGCAACACTAATATTTTATGATTGTACGCTATCTTATTCTATAAAGAGTATCGAGCCAAAGATGTCAAATCAAGAAAGATGCCCAGAAAGAAGCTAGTTTTAGAGTTTCATTCTGCATATATCAGGAGTTCCTCCAAAGAACACCGGCAGTAACAGACCTATCTTTTTTAAAGTAAGGTTTTGATTGAATATTGTAGATTATAGCAGTGTAGAATAACTAGCACATCAGTTTTAAGAGTTAAAACTACTTGTATCATAAGATTATTAAAAGAGTGCATTTGCTTTTCTTGTAGTGAACAAAAGGTTGTCGGTGATCCCTCACAAGCTGACGCTAATTTTAAATCAACAGGCAAATTAAATATTAATTTAATCATCGATCAAAGGCTGCATACTCGTCGCAAAGCTAATCTTTGTGTTAGCCTCAAAAAGACTGGAAAATCTGTTTGTTTCGTTTCCTTATCCTTCCCTTCTTCTTCTTTTTCCATATTTATTATATTTAAACTCTGTGCGGAACAATCTGAATCTGAAGTGTGATCTTTTTTTCCCTCCCGCGGCGTGGATCCTCTCCCTGTTTTTGGGTGGAGATTTCAGAGATGTGTTTTTACCTGTGAGTAGCTCTACCTCTTCTGTTTCTATGTAGGTGCCAGGCATCATCCTGTTCAAAACATCTCTCGTGCAATTCTTTGTGATCAAACACTTGATTCATTTTTCTTTCTCGACTGGCACCGTGTAAGACCTCTGAATCTGAATCTTCTAAGTCCTTTTTTTTTTTTTTTTTGCTTTGTGACACTTAAGATATTATATTTTTGTTAATCAGTATGATTTAATTATGTACGATTTTGCAGTGTTTTATACGGAAGCCCTAAGAGGACGTGAATCAGTACATTTTCTTTTACTCCGTTTCCCCATGATAAAGATTAGATTTGGTTGTTTTCTCCAGATCCCATCTTGAAATTCTGTTATCCCAGTTTTTCCCGTGCAAACGAGGTAATTTCAGTCGTTTTTCCTGAAATCTCAAGATATTAAAATGGCAAAAAAAAGTGTCGTTATCCCGAGATATCCAGACTTAAAAGTCAAAGATCTGCAGAAAACAGGCGGAAATAATCGTCAGTCAAATGGAAGTTTAAATCCACCGAAATCACTTTCTCAAACATTTTAAACGATGTCTACTCGCAGCATGCTGAGAATACTTAAACCTAAAAACTGCCATTTGGTGATAAAACTGCTTTATTTTATTTTTTTCATGTAATGAAGTTGGGTGTTTGATATGCTCACACGCTTGACCGTAGACCTCAAAGTCTTGAGTTAAATTCACAATGAAATGTGATCATATTTAAAAACGTTTAATGTGATAAATCCTGAGATTGTTTTTTTTTTTTTTTTTTTAAGAAAGTATGTAATGTGTGTGCGTGCGTTTTTATTATGCAAATCAACAAACAATCACTGTGAGGCTTTGCATTGTTGTCACTTCCTGTCCTGGAGGAGCTTTTTACTGAACAGGGTTCGACGTGTTTGTGCAGCAGGTTGTCTTTTAAAAAAAAAAAACTGACTCTTCTTCTCGGACAGTATACTCCTGTGCATTATCTGCACTGCTTTATCTGCAATCCATTTAGCGACAGGTTGATTAGTTATGTCTTAAATTCTCTTGTTTGATGACTGATCAGTGAGTTGATCATGCTGATTGAATTGTTTCTGATTCAGTCAACGTTAGCATATTTTGTGTATATATTTATATAATCCTCGATGGAAGGAAAACAAACAAACATGCACAATCACTGCCGTTTCTGCTCCGTAGTGCTAACAAGGGCTTTTCATCATTTCCTCCTGACACCCATCATAAACTCTCCTTCTCAAAATGTGAAGCACAAAGACTGTCAAAGAACCAGAAAAAACTCCAAAAACCACATCGTCTTCACTTCCTGTAAACTGCACACCTCGACTTTTGATTCCACAGTAAATGTTGTATTCTGATGTTTCTAACTCTTGAA